TTTAAGATTTTAAGTAAGCTCTACGCCCAATGTGAGGCTTGAACTCATGACCCCAAGATCGGGAGTCGCATGCTCCACTGACTGAGTCAGCCGGGTGCCCCTGACCTATTTCTTTTTGAAAATAAATACACACACATAGAAGTGCAACCATACATGCACATGTTCATCTTCCACTGCCCCCAGATAAAAGATACCAAACATATAAACGATAGTTTTGCACTTTGCTTTTTTCTTTTCTTTTTTTTGAAGTTTACTTATTTATTTTGAGAGAGAGAGTGTGAGTGGAGGAGGGGCAAAGAGGGGGAGAGTGAGAATCCCAAGCAGCCTCCGTGATGCCAACACAGAGCCCGACACGTAGCTCGAAATCACGAACTGTGAGATCGTGACCTGAGACTCACCCAGGGGGCGCCTGGGTGGCTCAGTCGGCTGAGCATCCAACTTCAGCTCAAGTCGCGATCTCGAGGTTCGTTGAGTACGAGCCCCGCGTGGGGCCCTGCACTGACAGCTCAGAGCCTGGAGCCTGCTTCAGGTTGTGTATCTCCCTTTCTCTCTACCCCTCCCCTGCTTGTGCTCGGTGTGTGTCTCTCTCTCTCAAAAATAAAAATAAACGACTGAGCCACCCAGGTGCCGCAGCACTTGGCTTTTTTTCTATTAATATGTTGCAGAGATAGGGCCATAGTAATACCATAGTAATACCTAGTAAAAATCCGTTTTTTACTGCTGCATACCACTCTGGTTCGTGGAGGTGTCAAAATCTATTCAACCGGTCTCCCACTGATTGACTCCTGGGTTGTGCTGAACCTTTTGCCGCAGTAAGTAATCTTGTGTATATTTCATATTTTTGCCCATTTCACCTTGGGGTAGATTACTTCAAAATGGGGTGTCCGGGTGAAAAGGTAAGTGCAAATGTGCTACACCACTTGTATGCCGGCAGCCGTGTGCGAGCGGGCTGCTCCCCGAGGAGTGTGGCCAGAGTGTGGGGTGTCTGCCCGACTGATGGGCAACCAGAGCTGTGGTCTGCGTTCTCTTACTGGCGGGAGGTGGAGCTGGTTGGGGTTCGTTTGCTTCATCTTTAAGTATCATTGTAGGTGCTCTCTGAACTGTCTTTTCGTATCTGTTGTTTGTTGATATGTTTTGTCCATTTCAGATGTGGGTGATTCCCGTCCCAATTGTAGGAACTCTTTAAATTAAGGGTATTAGCCCCCTTTCTTTTTGTGATATCAGTGCAGGTATTTTCCCCATCTGCTACGTATACGTGTTTTAAAATTCCCTCTCTTTTTTTCAATGCATACATTTTGATTTTGTTCGGGTTTTGTTTGTCCATTTTTCCCTTTTCATTTCTGGATTTTGAGTCCTAGGAAAGATTTCGCCCATTCTTGGATGACAAAGCAATTTCCATAATTTAGATTTTCTTCATGCATAGGCACCATCATGTTTAAATTTTAGAACCTTTATATTTCAATATCCTCTTCTCTGTTTTGCTGGCTGTTCATCTTGCTTCTTCAGTGTGACCTTTGTAATCAACTCCTCTAACTCTAGAAAAAAGATCTGATATATCATGGCCTCATTAAATGTCTAAGGGGCGCCTGGATGGCTCATTCGGTTGAGTGTCTGACTTTGGCTCAGGTCATGATCTTGCTTGCTTCCACGGGCTCGAGCCCCACATGGGGCTCTTGCGCGGACAGCTCGGAGCCTGGAGCCTGCTTCAGATTCTGTGTCTCCCTCTCTCTCTGCCCCTCCCCTGCTAGCACTCTGTCTTTCTGTCTCTCAAAATGTTAAAAAAAAAATTTTTTTTTAATGTCTACATTAAAAAACAGTGACATCTTTAGGATACTGATTTTTCCTAACTCAGAACACGTGTGAATTTTCCTTTGTTGAGGTGACCTTTTCCGTCTTTCAGAAGAGGCCTCCCCTCTGAGGTTACGACTTGGCACTCGCGAATTAATGTGTTTGGGGGAATGAAGTGCACTCATGATCTTTTAAGTGGATGCCATTTTTATAAAAAGGCTATTGATTTCAGTGTGTTTATTTTACGTCTCATTACTTGACCATATTTCCGTGTAGTTTTTTCTTTAATCCTTTTGGATTTTCCAGAGGCACGATGTGGTGTCTTGGGAAGGAGGAAGTCCGACACTTTAGAAAGGCTTTCCTAGCTCTGCCACTCCCGAGTTGCCTTCTCGTCTCATTGCCTTGTTACTGTCTTCAAACCGAGCTAAATGACAGCAGACATGGAAGGCGCCTGTGCCTCACTTCAGCGGGGGCCTCTGTAGTGTCTGTCACCTTCTCAATTAAAACAGCTGTTAGCATTTTGCCGAAGGGGTGTGTGTGTGTGTGTGTGTGTGTGTGTGTGTGTGTGTTCATGCTAAGGAAATAGTAATAAATTCCTGTTTTTTATCAGTAATGCATATTGAATCATGTCTGGTGAAATCTGTGAGAGGTGATTGTAGGGTTTTCCTCCATAGGTATATTAATATGATGAATTCTATCTACCCATGAACTAAATCCATATTTGATTTTTTTTAAATCTAAGATTTGTTTACTTTGAGAGAGAGAGCGAGAAAGCATGAGCACCAGCAGTGTAGGGGCAGAGGAAGAGAGGGAGAGACTCCCAAGCAGGCGCTGTGCTGCCAGTGCAAAGCCAGACACGGGGCCCAGTCTCACGAGCTGTGAGACCACGACCTGAGATGAAATCAAGAGTTGGACACTCAACCGACTGAGCCACCCTCCCCCCTTTTAATGTTTGTGTATTTTGGGAGAGAGTAGATTTTCTGATCTTTAGCTGTTCTTGCACAGACATGACTTAGTCATGATATGCTATCTTTAAAAACAAATTTTTTTTTTTAACGTTTATTATTGAGAGAGCATGAGCAGGGGAGGGGCAGAGAGGAGGAGACACAGAATCTGAAGTGGGCTCCAGGTTCTGAGCTGTCAGCACAGTGCCCAACGCGGGGCTCAAACTCACAAACCGCGAGATGATGACCTGAGCCGAAGTCAGATGCTTAACCGACTTAGCCACCCAGGCGCCTCATGATATATTATCTTTTTAACGTAATTCTGTTCTGTTTGTTAAACAGTTTTATTTAAGAATTTTAGGGACGCCTGTTGGTTAAGTGCCCGCCTTCAGCTCAGGTCACGACCTGACCCTCGTGGTTCGTGGGTTCGAGCCCCGCATCGGGCTCTGTGCTGACAGCTCAGAGCCCGGAGCCTGCTTCGGATTCTGTGTCTCCCTCTCTCTCTGCCCTTCCCCCGCTCACACTCTGTCTCTGTCTCTCAAAAATGAATTGACGTTAAAAAAATTTTTTTTTAAGATTTCAAGTAATCTCTATACCCAACATGGGGCTTGAATTTACAATCCCAAGATCAAGAGTGCAGGCTGTACTGACAGAGCCAGCCAGGTGCCCCTGTGGGTAACCTTTTAAAAAAATGAGGGCACAAACACACAAATAAGAAACAAAAATGGGGAAATAATCTCCAGAACATGGGAATTTTTTTTTAATCATAAAACAAATTTGTACAACTCAGTGTAAATAAATTCAACGAAATGGACAATTTTCTAGGAAAATGTAAAGTTACTAAAACTAACCCCATCAGAATCAGAATTCTCAGGGAAATTCCAAAAACCAGATAATCCAATTAAAAATCTTAAAGTCTTTCATGTTTATTCATTCCTTCTACATTCTCGGTTTTCTTTGTTGTTCCTTCTCTTGCTTTTTGAGTTGCCTGTTTTCATGTTTATTGTTGTATTTAATGCAACGAAACTTTCTCAGAGCACCGATCCTAAGATTATGTCTTATTTTTATTGTCATTTTTAGGAAATTGTGTACTTTCATTTCCTATTTCCTGTTGGGTTGAAAAGTTTAATTTTTAAAGATTACTTTCCTGTGTCATTGCATTATAGGGAATGTGGTTTGCCCTTCTAATTTTTTCAAGGTTTTCTTTGTGGCATCAAAGACTGTCAGTTTTCAGCCCTGTCCCATATGCACTTGAAAAGGTGTGTTTGCTATTTTGGGGCCTCACAGTCTGATATGGTCTCTGACATCTGCCTTGTTCTGCTGTTTAGGGCTTGTCACTTGTACCAGTGCGATGTCTGGGTCTGTCCGGGACTTAAGGGAGACGCGTGAAAAATGTGTTTTAATGTTTGTTTATTTTTAGGAGAGAGCATGAGCAGGGGAGGGGCGGAGAGAGAGGGAGACAGACTCTGAAGCAGGCTCCAGGCTCCGAGCTGTCAGCCCAGAGCTCAAACCCCCAAGCTGTGAGATCACACTTGGCTGAAGTCAGACGCTTAACTGACTGAGCCACCCAGGCGTCCCTGAAGGGAGCCACTTTAAAGTCTCCTGTTAGGGTGTGTGTCTGTGTCTAGCTGTACTTTCTGAGGTTGCTGCTTCATGAAAATGACTACCGTGTGATCTGGTGACTAGGTTTTCATACCTGTGATCTCTTTATTGTGGATTTTAGCCTTCAGCATCACTGAAGCACTTAGCATTATGAAGGACACTGAAGTGTGCTTTGGGCCTTGGTGCCTGTTTGCTGAGATCACAAATCTTGTTGTCTGTGTGTTTTCATTTGCTTGGTATTTCTTTGCTGATATCCTTTTAATTTTTTCACAGTTTTGTAAACCTGCCTGAGAAATCTTTTTTTTTTTAATGTTTATGTATTTTTAGAGAGAAAAGGCGAGCAGGGGAGGTGGGGGGGGCGGGGAAGAGAACATCCCAAGCAGGCTCTGCACTGTCAGCACAGAGCCCGACTCGGATCTTGATCTCGGGAACCGTGAGATCAGGACCTGAGCCAGAATCAAGAGCCGGCCCCTGACTAAGCCACACAGGTGCTCTCTGAAAAGTCTTTTTCTTTTAATGGTTGATTTAAACTCACGTAAACTGAATAGATTAGCTTATTCATGTAACTGACAGGTTTGGGCTCCACATTGTTTTATATTCCTTTATGCAGACTGCTACTTACTGTCAGTTTTCTGCCCTTGAAGAGTGACATTCTGTGGGAAAACTCTCACCTGAGGCCTGTTTCTCTTATTTTAAACGGGGGAAAAAATACCACGTATCACAGGAAATGCCAGATTCCCAACCAGTGTCCTCAAATGTAACTAAAACACAGCAAATGCATATAAACACATGCATTACACCAGGAAGTAAACTGCTTTAAAAGTGATTTCCTGGTGACCAACCAGTGAATCTGGTTGTTAACAAGTGGTTACTGTTCACACAGTAACACGGTCTCCCAGCACCTGAGGGCACGTGACTCTCACTTTTCACTGTGCGAACACACGATTCTGACTTGTGTTGGATTTGGAGCGCAATTTGAAACTTTGCTCACACGTCTTGAAAACATCGTATTACATTTTGGGACTTAAATATTAATTTTCCTACATAACTAGCAGCTGGAAATGGGACTATTAAGAGATTTATAGATTCTAGAAAGTTTCGGGGTGTTAAAAACTTGTAATAAGCAAAAAAAACAAGAGTAACAGCAAACAACCCTAATACGCCTCCTACCAAGAAAATGTTAACCAGGAAGATATTCTGATTTGTTTTAAGTCTTTCTAGAGAGGGTCTTTTACAATATGGTGTGTGTGTGTGTGTGTGTGTGTGTGTGTGTGTGTGTGTGTGTTTATTTTGGATATAACTTTTGGGATCTATAAATGCTGTTTTTGTTCCGAGAGTTACCATTATAAATAGAAGATATCACACCGTACCCTCCTTACAATCTCTTTGTTCCATAGTGTCTATAATAAGCAGTAATGGAATTAGCTAGGGATTCTTCTCTTTCCTCCCCATGTCTAATTCCAGATGGCACCCCGGGGCAGTCTTGTTGGCGTGCTTTCCTTACCCGGCACGCTTTCATAGGCTTTCTCTTCCATCTTGCATCAAATTGTCAGGGCTTGATATTAGCATCCCTCTTTTGTCTCCCTGTCTGCCGTCACTGAGTCCAGTTCTGGGCCACAAACTTTTTGGTTTCTGAAGCTCGTTTTCTAGGTGGTTCCTCCCAAAGGTCTCATGCAACAGTCCATGCCTTGAGGTGTTTCATATTGGTAACTTTATTCTTTGAGGTCAGTTTGGATATAAAATCTTTGGCTAATATTTTCTCTCTCTGAACGCCATAAATTGGTTGCTCCACTGTCTCGGGATATGAAGTGTTGCTGATGAGAATTTTGGTGCCCGTATTAATTTCTTTCCTTTGTAAGTGGACTGGGGTGGGGGGAGGAGGGGGAGTGGACACCCACAGCATGATCTTCTAGAGCTGCAGAGTTCAATCAGAATACATTTCCCGGTTGCCCCTTCTAGTTCTGAGTCGGTAAGTGATGTCATACGACTTCTGGTATGCTGATTCCAATCCCTTCCTCTCTCGGTCCCCCTTCTATTTTTCTGACCCTAATACACGTTCCTTGAATTACAGTTCTTAAGAATCCTGTTGCTTGGGGCACCTGGGTGGCTCAGTCGGTTAAGCATCCGCCTTTGGCTCAGGTCATGATCCCACAGTTTGTGAGTCTGAGCCCCCATCAGGCTCCCTGCTGTCAGCACAGAGTCCGCTTCAGATTCTCTCTGCCCCTCCCCCACTCTGTTGTGTGCCCTCTCAAAAATAAATCTAAAACAAATTTTAAAAAAGAATTCTGTTGCTTTTATTTCATTCATCAGGGACTCCAACTGTATGTGTGTTAGATCCTTTTTCCCCTACCTCCTTTGTTATTTTCTGCCAAATACCTTTTGTTTGAGGGATTTTGTACAGATGAAAAATCTGTTCCACCAGCAGACAGCCTCTGCTTTGCTGACCTGCCCGTTGCTCTCTTGTGCTATAGTCAATAAACTTCAATCTCCTTAAAAAAAAAAAAAAAAATCTGTTCTACCATCATGATTTTGCTTGCCAGGTGACCTGATGGAAATGGAAATGCCAAATTCCATGTCTCCGCTGACTTCAGAGACTTGGCCACAGGCAAGCTTCAGTGCCAGAAAGACCACCAGGCACACTTCTGAAACAACATCCTAAAGCTAAAGACATGATCCTGTTCTTGTCCTAGTTACTTAAGTCCTCAGCTTTCCTACCTTGTTTTTTTTTTTAAGAAGTTTTTTTTTTAACTTTTTTTTTTGAGAGCACAAGTTGGGGGGGAGGGCAGACAGAGAATCTGAAGCAGGCTCCAGGCTCTGAGCTGTCAGCACAGGGCCCGATGTGGGGCTCGAACCCATGAACTGTGAGATCGTGACCTGAGCCGAAGTTGGACACTTCACCGACCGAGCCACCCAGGCGCCGCGCCCCCCCCCCCAACCTTTTTCTTATATCTGCATTTGCTCTTATAAGAATTCAATCGTATTGTTGTTTCCAAAGCAAAACAAAAAGCCCCTAACATAAGCAAAACAAAATAAATTCTTCTTAGACCCACCTCGGGGAGCTGTGCAGGGAGGGAGCCCCAGACAGTTCGCAGATGTGGACTATTAGTGGCTGCCTGCACAGGAATGGGTCTGGGGCCAGAAATCAGGAGCAAACTCCACTCCGGTTGGAAATAGAAAGCATGCCCCTAGATTTTAAAGTGTAGTTACCTCTAATCCGTTTCAAGAAATCAAAGCCACTTGTGACATTTGAGGCAACGAAACTTACCTTGATAGGCCTTTCCAGGTCTTTCTTTGTAAACCTCATGACAACCAATCCCAGAATCGTCAGGCCATAAAACAGCCATGCAGCAAAACTGAAGTAATTGACCAATGAGTTTATGTCACCAGGGATGATATAAATAGTTGCTATGATGCCCTAGTGGAAAGAAGAGTGAATTCTTCGGTCACTTGTACGTAAAAACGTGGTCCCTGTCACTTCACAGGAGGCTAAGGAAGCCGTGCTTCCTGTGGATGGAAAGGTCTGCATGACAGAAACCTACATATCCCATATAGGTGGGGTTAAACTAGTCTTTGGCTGTGATGGGTGTTCTCCCCGAGGCCTGATGGAAAGAACTTGGTGAAGTTTCAGTTTCAAGCGGGGGGAGAACAAAACACACATGTTTATCACACCAGATTTCTTTAAAAAATTTTTTTCTTGATAAGATTTTACTTTTCTGAGTGATCTCTCTTCCCACTGTGGAGCTTGAACTCACAACTCCCAGATCAAGAGCCACAGGCTCTACCAGCTGAGCCAGCCAGGCACCTCTCCAGTGTTCTGATACGTTTTCCCACTGGAAAGTCTTTGCCAGGGGAAAGGGCCGGGGGCTGCAACACAGCCTTAGTCTGACCCCGCCCTGCCTTCGGCTGTTGTGGCCTAGGCTTTGTGATTTGGGCCCTCTCCTCATCTTCAAAGCGTGTAGGCTTATGGAGAGCAATGTTCTCCGTAAGAGGTGGAAGGAGTCTGGCCCCGAGGCTGGGCTTGGATGGTCCACAGAGACCATAGGTACTAGAGACAGTTGCACAGGACCAGGGACTGTCCCCTACTGAGAAACTCCAATCAGAAGATGTCAGAGGGCTTCCTCTACTGCTCAACGATGCCATCTAAATTCCTGGGTCATAACAAGAAGCAGTTACCAGGCACCTCATTAAATGCCTTATTCTCCTTCCCTGTAAGCTAGTGGGCTTTGGTATAGTTTGCTAGCAGGGATCCAGACATACAAATGTACCTGTAAGACTCACGGAGGGTACAAGGTTGGAAGAGTCCAACAGCGTCTCCTGGATCAACTCAGAAGGAGGAGCAGGCGTTGGGTAACTTGTTTCATATACCTGTTTCATGCTGAGGACTAACGGAACCTGGGCCTTTGGAAAACCACTGGGCTTAGCAATACTGATTTACTTCAGGGCCCCTCTGTCTTTAAGGGGGTGTTTTCATGGCGGAATTCATACTTACATAAAAGATGATGGCAGGGGCTGGAGTCAGGCGCCTGACGCTGATGTAGGAGAGCACTTTAAGCATGTGGCCTTCCCGGCCCGCCACGTACACAAGTCTGGAAAAGTGATAATACGGCACCCGTGGATGGGCGTGCAGACTGTCGTGCCATCACCGGGCTTCACTACCAAGGCCACGGAGAAAGGGACTGAATCGGAACCTGGTGCTGTCAGTGGGAGTCGGTCTCTAGGGGTGAGTCAGTTTGGGGGAAGTAGGTGAAGCGGTTAAATGCTCCTGAGAGCAATGCATCCTGGTACCGTGGGTCACATGAATGGGGAAGAGCAGGGGGCTGCCCTGGGGGGAGACTCGACCTGCTCTGTGTCCTCAAAAGTTAGGCAAGAAGCAAATGGAAAAACCAGTCTAGGGGCAGTGGACCCCGGTGCTCAGAGCACCCGACAGAAGCAAACACAGGGGAGCCTGGCACTCCCTAAATCCAAGCTGTACAGAATTTCCATATTTTAAAACCTGAACCAAAACACGTTAAGGGTGGGTCAGCAGACTGCAAACAAGTAGCTTAGACTCCCCGCCCCCAAGAACTCCTGGTGATTCAGTAATCTGAAAGATGAGGTTTAAAATGTTGAAAAAAGGGGAAATGCCAAAAATTTCTAAAAAATACAAAATTACCATAATTTAAGAATCAACAACTGATATACGAGGTGCCAGTGAAAAAAATAAATTAGAAACCAGATCTGAGTTACGAAGTGTAGAGAAATGGAAAATGCAGACAGGAAATTAAGAAACAGGAAGAAGCCCAAATATATTAAACGGGGTAAGGCAAACTCAAAGAAGGGCAGAGAGCTTTCATGGAATTGAAAAACAACTTTCAAATTAAATCCAGCTCTAGACAAAAAAAAAAAGCATACCCAGATACAAATATTATAGTGGAAGGAAAAAAATTTTTTAAGCTTCCAAATTTAAAAGATCAGCTACAAAATTAGGACACGCAAAATCATAACAGACGTGGAATGAGAATCTTTTCGGCGATGAGGGAAATTGGTTTTCGGATTCCTGTGCTGTGTAGCTAAACTACCATTCAAGACGACTGACTTAGTAAGTACATGTGTAGGTAAACAATAACTACGGCACATTTTCTGCTCTCCGTTCCTCATTGGAAACTATTCAGAAGTCTACTCCAACAAACAAACAGGGACTGAACTCAGAAGGAGTTGATTGAAGAAGCAACGTTAAGGAAACAGCAGTAAAACACGTTGGTATGTATGTCAGTGACGAGGGAGACAAAGGCAAGAGAAACGTAGCTGCAATGAAATCTCCTTACAGCTTGCAGCCCACTGATACACACCACCGATAGAAACGTGCAGAATGTGACCTTCCTCAAGGAACTCGTGGCTGCCTTAGTGCCTTCACGTTGATGTTCGATTAAAGACTAAAAGTAACCTTATCTTAACAGCAGCTAGCCCCTCAAGGTCCTGAAAGCCTTGCTTCCAAATTCCTTCGAAACTTGCTTAAAAGTATATAATCAGTCACTCTCACAACCCCAGTGCAGCTCTTTCTGCCTTGGGTCCTGTCCCCATGCTTTAATAAAATCACCTTTTTGCACCAAACGCGTTTCAAGAATTCTTTCTCAGCCATTTGCTCACGAACCCCATCATAAGTATTGGATTTTTAATTTTTGTCCTGCACATGGCAGGTTGACAGACGAGGTCAACTGGACGATGTGAAAGGGAGAGCCCTCGCTGGAGAGGGGAGAGAACAGAGAGGCTAGTAGACTCTTAGGTGTTCGAGTTCAATTTGCTGGGTAATTGCTAAAAGAATAGAAATACAACTTCCACCTCCGCAGAAGAAAAAAACGACATTTGATGGATAATCAGAATATGATTTTTTTTTAAAGCCAGAAAACCCCACGATACTTGGAGATTAGTCCCACTGCAATAGTAATCACGTCAATTGTGACCAGAGGCCGCTGGCCTGGCCCGAGATGCCCCCGGGGGGGCTTGTTGAAAGAGACAAGCCAGAGCCCGCCGTCGCCGCTGAGTGTGGAAGATACAAGGGTTGGGGGATGTGTTACCAAAAGCAGCATCCTAAAGCTTGCAGCGACCGAAGTATCAGTATCGGACAATACAGAACGTAAGGCAAAAAGAGTTTTCTCTGAAAACGGAAGCCGTCTACCCAGAAACTACAAAAAACAGGAGCCCTTGAGAGAGAAGGCCAAACTTGACAAATCCCCCGAGAGCAGAAGATTCGAACAGTCAAGGCACAAGCTTGATGATATAAAAAATCGAGACGGCGGGAACACAATACACCTTATTTTGCAGACCCTGGGAAGCATTTATAAAAACTGCAGTAAGCCGCTTAAAGCTTCCGAAGAAGTGAGGTCATAAAGATCCCACACTCTGACAACAATACGATAAAATCGCAAGTCAGGAATACAAAGGCCAAAGGGCCCTGTCTATTAAAAGTACGTATTTGAACTTTGAAAACGACATAAACAGGGCGTCGGATTAGTTCCCAGAACAAGCCAGTGAACCTGGGATTAAAGGAGTTGCCAGATGGAAGGAGACAGACAGGTGGCGCTGTGACCTCACGCTGTAAACCCCTCTGTGCTTACAGCCCTCCGTAAATTCCAAGTGCTCAGAACGCAAGCAGGACTTTTGGAACTGGAGACCATCATTGCAAGTGTGGCTGGAAGGCTGAGCAGGCAAGGAGGAGTGGAGGAGCACTGACATGGGAGCACTGGTTCTCCCCAGTGTTGTGTGGCCGGAGCTGGGAAGCGTCTGCACGCGGTGATAGCCCAGGACAGGGCCCACGGGTGATATGGAGTGAACCCGGCATGCTGAGCATAGCGGTATCATTCAAACCAGTAGAGGAAAGGACGGACTATCAACAGGATCTGGGACAACAGGTAGAGGTTGGGGGCGGGGGGAGGAGTGAGATTTATGCCTCATATCAAAATACATTCCAGATTGATCAAAGAGCTAAAGTAAGATACTGGAAGAAAACACGGGTAGGTGTTATTGAAAGGCGAAAAGTTTGTCTATGTGAGATAGGAAACTCAGAAACCAGGAAGCAAAAATCTTAGATTTGACCCCACAATAAATTCTCTCCAACAGAATTCAATACAGCACAAGTCCCAGGCCACCCCCAAGCTGCACAGGCACATGAATGAGAATTAACTCAAAATGGATCATAAACCTAAATGTGAGGGCTACGCCTATAGAATATAGAACTTCTAGGGTAAAACAAAAGAAAAAAATCTTTGTGACTTTGGCTTGCGCAAAGGCTCTTAGATATGGCAACAAAAGCGTGACACATGAACGGTGACAAACTGGGCTTTGTCAAAGTTAAAAACGTGCATTTCAAAAAACACCATTAAGAAAGAGAAGTTGGGGAGCCTGGGTGGCTCAGTGGGTTAAGTGTTGGACTTTTGATTTCAGCTCAGGTTATGATCCCACAGTTTGTGAGATCAAACCTTCCATAGGGCTCTGTGCTGACAGTGCGGACGGAGCCTGCTTGGGGTTCTCCCTCTCTCTCCCTCTGCCCCTGCCTCTCCCCAGCTCATGTGCATGGGTGTGTGCGCTCTCTCTCTCTCTCTCTCTCTCAAAATAAACATTAAAAAAAATGACAAGCCACAGACTGGGAGAAAATATGTGTAAGTCAGATACCTGATAAAGGACTTGTATCCATAATATATAAAGAATTCTTACAACTCAATAAGATGACAAATGGCCCAATTTAAAAAGTGTACAAAAGGGGCACCTGAGTGGCTCGGTTAGTTAAGCGTCCGACGTCAGCTCAGGTCATGATCTCACGGTTTGTGGGTTTGAGCCCCATGTCGGGCTCTGTGCTGACAGCTCAGAGCCTGGAGCCTGCCTCAGATTCTGTGTCTCCCTCTCTCTCTGCCCCTTCCCCACTCACAATCTGTCCCTCTCTCAAAAATAAACATTGAAAACATAAAAAATAAAAACTGGACAAAAGATTTGAATAGATATTTCATCAGAAGATACATGAATGGCTAATCACATAAAAAGATGTTCAGTATCATTAGTAATTAAGGAAATGCAGTTAAAACCACAATGACATAATATCCACTAAAAAGACTGTAATTAAAAAGACAACACCAAGTGTTAGTGAGGATGTAGAAAAACTGGAATGCTCACGTTTTGCTAATAGAAATTAAAATGAGACAACCAACTTGGAAAACAGTTAAGCCATTTCTGTAAAAGCTGATCGCAGATCTACTGCATGAGCCCGCAGTTCTAGTCCTGGGAATCTAAGAGAAATGAAAACATATGTCCACACAAACCCATGTGTGAATTCATAGCAGCACTGTTCATGATAGCCCAGACTCGAAGCAATGCAAACCTCCATCTACCCGTGAATGGATAAACAAACTGTGGTATATCCAGACAGTGGCATAGGATTCAGCAGGTGAAAGGAACTAGCAGGTATTTGCTATGCCATGGATGAACCTCAAAACTAATATGCTGAGTGAAAGAAAGCCAGAGGCAAATAGCATATTGTATCACTCCATTTAAGTGAACTGTCTAGAAAATGCAAAGTTATAGACACAGGGGCGGGTCAGCGGTAGTCTAGGGCTGGAGGTGGGAGCAGGGATTAACGGTAATTAGGCTGGAGTGAACTTTTGGTGTGATGGAAATGTTCTAGAATTGAACTGTGAGGACATTTGCACAGCTTAATAAATGTACTAAAATCATTGAATTGTGTAATTACAAAGTGAGTTTATGGGATTTAAACCTCAGTGGAGCTACTGAAATTATGTTTCTAAATATTAGCAGCAAACTCGTTTATGGTATTTAAACCTCAGTAGAGCTACTGAAATTATGTTTCTCAATATTAGCAGCAAACTCTCAGAAACTGAAAAAAAGTTTTTTAAATACCATTTACAAGAGCGCAAAAAAATGAAATATTTTGAGGTGAATCTGAAAGAATATATGCAAAAGCCACATACTCTCAAAACTACTCAAAAACTATTGAAACAACTGTATTTGAAAAAAATTGAGACCTAAATAAAGGGAGCGGGTCCTTGCCCCTAGATTAAGAAAAATCAATACCATTAAAATGGCGGCCCTCTCCAAACTGATCTGCAGGTTCCACGCAGCCCTGATCAAAGTCCTTGAGGGCCTTTTTGTAGAAATTGACAAGTAGATTCTAAAATTCCTATAGAAATGCAAAGAATCCAGAAGAGCCGAACGCTTTTGAAGAACGAATGTTGCTGGACCAGCACAACCCGTGCTTTGACAGCGGCTTCAGAAGAAAGGTTTTGTGCATAGAGTGTGTAAGCACAGAAACTTTGGCGATTCCACTCTCGGGAAATCTATCCATTCAGAACACTGGACACTGGGGCAGAGACGTGTTCCAGAATGTTCCCTGCGTCAGTGTTTGTGACCACCACCCCCGCTCAGCCCGTGAGCCGAGGTTAAGTCGTGCCACATCGCAAAATGGAATACAACACCGCTGTTAACTGTCTCTAGGCCAGGAGGGTCCAGGAGGGTCCAGGGGATTGGCAGGGGCTGGTGAGCTATGCCTGCTTGTGTGGATACAGTTTGGGCAGAACGGAACCCCAGCTCTTAGCCTTCGAGCTACACTGGCAGAGTTGAGTAGTGACAAAGGTGGCCTGAAAGCCTAAGCTGGGACTACCTGATCTAGGTTATGTGTATGTTCACAAGGGAAGATGTTCAAGAAATATTTTTAGGTGAAAGATGGGGCGAGGTGAAAAGTAGCCCCAGCGTGCCTGTCACCCTGTGTCCCCAAACTGCCTGGTGAAGTTGGCAACATTGCTCCCCGCCGACAAGGAAGCCAGGGCCTCGCTTCAGTGGGGCCACCGGGTCCAGCGCCAGTGTGCAAGCTCGGCCAAGCTTTTTGCTCCCTTTCTAGGACTTTGGGTTTTCTTTTCTCTTTCTTTCTTTTTTTTTTAGGCTTCTACTCAAATTCCAGTTAGACTTTGTGTTTTCTGTTATGCCATGATGTGTTAGCCTGGCAGAGCCCTAAGGACTTTCACCCTGGGTCTTGTTTTCCTCAAGTGTGGAATGGGCCCTGCTGCCACCGCCACCCCCCCCCCCC